CACTAGAACACTAGTAAACACAAAATACAGGGGTGGAGAAATTCCGAATTTCGATTGCGATTTTCGTTTTTATTTTCGTTCACTTATTTCTTGGTTTTTGCTTTGGCTCTCGCATTCGCCGCTCTCGCGGACTCGCGCTCTCTCTCTCACTGCTGTCGCACAAAACAAACGCACAAAAACACTCACACACAAACACACGCGCTCTCGCTCTCTCGATATTTCGCTCTCTCTCGCGCCCGCGCGTTTCGTATATACATATATCTGTCTGTACGTATGTATGTCGGATTTTACGACGATGAAAATGCCTGCTTCTTCTTCTCAAAAATCAGGTTTTCTGCTCTCGATTTTCACACTTTTTCGGCAATTGCCCGCTGCAAATTCGATGTAATTTTACTGACTGCCGTTGCCCAGCACATTCGCACACACTTTTCAGCACAGTTTTTCAATTATTTTCCACATTTTCTGCCTTTTTTGACGAGCGAAACAGCCGACGGTTTTGTTGTTGGATTTTTTGGATTAGTGTGACCGCGGGAGATTAGTGTGAATTGGTAACACTAATTTTCGGGCAACGCAAGTGTCAAACACGAATGTTACAAACGGTCTCACTAAAAGAGGAGGAGTGTGTCTTCGATAAGTTAGTCGAGACACGCAAAATGTTTGATCATGTCTTGGCTTAGCGAGGACACTCTCCTAATTGTGTTTTCCAGCTGGAATCACCCTGTGGGCCTGTTTTGTTCGAGTTTTTTGGCGCAAAAGTTGAACTGATTTGAATTTGAATAAGACAAATGGATGCATAAGAAATTAGTTGTTGATTTTACCTGAAAATGTTCGCAGACATTGATGTTTTCGATGTTTAAAGAAAGCATCAATAAAACATCGATGTTTTGAAAAAAAAAGGTTTTTGTTTATAATAAATTAATAAAAAGTAGCATGGAAAAGCCAACTGTAAGACTTTTATGGATCATCAGTATTTTCAGATCAGCATTTTCACATTATAGTATTAGTATTCCCACCTATGCCACCTATACAGTAAACAGTTTGTTGCATACTTTTTGAATAGCAAATTTTCTTTAATTTTTCACCCGAGGGGGGTGATTTATAACCCATAAAGCCGATTGCTCCAAGACTAAATTTGAAAAGCTGGTGTAACTGCTAATTTCAATAATTTATGGTAATTAAATTGTTTAGAACGAAGATTGTCAAATATTCTGGCCTTGACGGGCCGAGTAATGTGACGTTTTTCATGGACTAAATTTTTCAGTTCACCATTGAGACTAGCTAATTAAAAGAAACGAAGAAAAAACACGAATTTTCAAGAGGAGTTTTCCTATCACCCAAAAGATCTGTTTTCGAGCCCCCGTCCAAGTGGCAAATATCAATCACCTCATTTGCGATCCCATTATCTCTAATATGTGTAGTTCGGATTAGTTGCGATTTCATAATGAAGCCATAATGTGCGGACACACATAAACAACTTGTCAGCTGCGTCCACTCGAATTTGGCTCTTTGCCGAAGTTATTAACCAAAAATTTGGGAAGACACCCAAAAGCTTTATGCATTCGCAAAGGCGCGAAGTAAACAAATAAATTTTGGTCAACGATTCGAACGTGTCCGCTTAATTAGCACATTTTTGATTCACAAAATAAATACAGCAAAGACTGTTGCCGGGCGAGACAGGAAGGGCGGTAATTTGATAAACGTCATTTCGCAGGCGTTTCACTTTTATTCGCAGGAAACTGAATCACTGGTCAGTGTGACAAAGACAATGGTAACCCACATTCAAAAGATGTTATCTCATAAAAACCATCTCAAAATGCTCCGTTTTTTTGTGGAAAGTCCCCAAGGAAGGACGTGTTAATCACTGCGGCCTAAATTTAAATTTATCACCCAATAAAATATTTAGTATGATTAAGGGTGAAATGGTTCTGAAACACAAAAATAACTCATTTATTTAGCGATTTTTTGGGTTTATAGTAGGTTTTTATTATGTATTTATTAAAAACCTAAAGTTTACAGTGAAATAATATTATTAGTATATTTATTTACTTTAAAAATTTAAAACTGTGTAAAGATTGATGTACTTTATTAACAAAGGAATAAAAATTCAACTATTAATCAAATGATTCTTTATTGTCAAGAACAAAGTATATTATTTTAATTGATTACAATCAATATAACTTACCAACATTACTTACTTAAAATAACAATCCCTTAATATTATTTAAACTTATAATATTTTAATTGTTAATACTTAAATACAAATGCAAATGTCACCAAGTTACATGTACTCCTTTCACATAAATTTCACTATCAGCTGTTGGCAACAGGAGTTAAATGGACATTGTTTTTAGCAGCTGACGCATTCCGCACACCTCCGTTAGTCGGTCCGTTTAGGTCCGCAGTGATAAGGAGTGTATACACATATCGATAACAATATATCTAACATGGATTACCTTGTACTGTGACAGTCGTTCCCGGCTTATCTTGGCCCGAAAACAACCCGAATTGTCGGCCTAATCATAATGAAACTTTTGTTTTGACAACATGGTCGTACTCGCTATCACCGGATTTCTAAAAATAGTTTTCGAACTTTGGCGCAATCTGCAATGCAAATGATGACGTCCGTGGCTGGAAAATTCCCTGCTCATCGCTTCAAAAAAGGGATTCCTCCCCAGATCGTGGGCTTATCATGCATGCTAATTAAGCCAATGACGAACTGAGCAAAAACCACTGAAAAAAAGCACAAAAACCACATTGAAAACGCGAGGAGCAAGGTAATCACTATACCTGTGCACCTGTCACCGTCATCCAGTTATCATTTAATAATCAGGGAGAGCGGCAGAAAAGCGGAGAGAGCTGCTTAGATGATTATCACTAGTTTGCGGGTACACATGTTTATGTGCGTACAGTAAGTGCTGTCTATAATAGTATAGTAATTATAATTAATATTTTAGAATGATAATTAATATTTTATTATCTTTATTATTGGAAATGCTGTCTATTACTTTGTAGAATAGTCTTTAAACATATTCCAGCAAAGTAGTTATATAAGGGTCATCACTGCGTATGAGTAATATTTTTAAACTGTTCTTACAGGCATAAAAGTTGTAAGGGACTTTTTTTTTAAATAATGTATATAAAACCACAAAAAAAGGCCATTAAGTTGGTTGAACTGCATTTTTAAGGAACTTTTGATTGCAATTTAAAATTTAAAGGCGAAATAAAAAGTATTTCCTTAGTAACAAGCAAAGGTACAATATTAAAATATATATTTTCGGAAACAATCACGATTATTTTTCTTCTTTTCTAAATATATGTGTGAGGAATTCCCCTATGAATACATCCAAGTATTTTTTGCAATCAAGATTCACAATTTAAAATGCATCAAAGTTTTAATTGTCTACCGCACAGATAGGAATACAATGTGTATTTTATATAACAAAATGGTTTATATTTCTTAAGTAGGTGTATAATATCTATGCTTTATAAGTGATTATCTTAAGATAATCTGTTTAAAATAAATCAAATGATATAGATCACTATATCGCGGTGCCCTCTGTACCTGCACCATGTTCTCTTTCCGCTGGCTAGTCCAACGTGTTTGCTATCACCATTATCACTCGAATTAGGCACAATCATTTAACGAACTCCCAGGCCCAGGCCCGTATGGTACTTGGAAAAGTAATGACTGGCGGGAAGTGAATAACAGCAGTAAACCCATATTTACCAACGGTATGGTATGGGTATGGGTACTTGTGTGTACTTCCAATAATACGACTATTCCATTCTTCAATTCCAGCCGAAGAAACCGAAACCGCTCAAGCTGCGAGAGGCCCGGAAGAGAGTCTTCTGGAATATGTAAGAGAATTGACGGGCCCAACAGAGAGAGGGAGCTCCAGCTTTTGGCGATCGCTCGTCGGTTGTTCAGTTGTTCAGTGGTTCAGCATTTCAGCAGTCACTTGTTTTTGAGTGCTGCTTGGAGTTGGTCGCTCGCCTGCTGCGCTCTTAGTTGTTTTGGCTTAGTTAAATTAGTTAGTGCCTCCGCTTAGCTGCGAAAAAGCTGGAAAAAAAGTATATAATATCGCGTTGTCGCCGCCTCCGTCGTCGTCGTCGCCGCTGCCTTTGTATCTGTGTGTTTGTGAGTGCCGAAAAGGAAAAAATAAAATATATACATAATAAAAGAAGAGTTGCTATTAAGTGAAATATACACACAACAACTAAAAGTTAGAGAACGCTTACGATTGTTGTTGCCATGCGAGCATCTGGTCGGCATAAAGCCTCAATTGTGTGTATTTACACTCGGTTCGCCGTACTCATTTGCATTGTGACAAAAAATAATAAACAAAAAACAAAGGCTGCCCGCTGTCCCACAGACACAACAACAATTAATTTAATAACTTAAGTAACAGCATCAACACGAACGGTCGTCGTCGCCAGTCGTCAGTCGCCAGTCGGAATTAATATTATAAAAAGAAAAATAAAAATAAAAATCCTAAAAACTGGTGAACATTTTTGTCTAGATAAAAAGTAACACAAAAAGTCAACTGGCAAAAGATCACGAAAGGCGGTACACACACATTTCCATTTGTCGCAGCCGGAAAACAAATTCACATTTGTACAGTCCAACTTCTGTAGCCCGGAATTCCACAAGAGCTTTGATTTTATTATTCTTTCCGACATAAATCGATCTTTGAGCCTCTATTGTTCAAGTTTCTATTTAAATAAATCAACATTTTAAAGCCAATCAACTTATGTTTGAAAAACCTTTAAACAGATAGATAAAAAATCAAAAAATAATTCAAATCTAAATTCAAAATCTTTTATTGCTGTAAAATAAAATTATCAAAATAAATTTTAAAAAATCATTAAATTATTAATATTATTTAAATTATTAATGCTTCAAATTTTATAATTTAAAATAATTGAACATAAAATTATTTCCTTACAACAATAAACATAAATTTAAAAATTATTTCTAATGTACAACGAATTTTCTTTAAAATTCCAAATAACAAAACGAACAATGCAAATTTTATTTAAATTTTTTAATGTCCTTCTAAAGTGCTATATGGAGAAGCTTGACTGTACCCACTCAAACACGTCACCGGCACACTCCCACTCTCGCACACACTCCCACATACACACACGCCCACAAGCTCTGGAGATTTGCACAAGTGCAAAGACTCGAAAAAAAAACAGAAAGAAACGAAAGAGGAAAATCAAGAGATTTTTTGTTGCCAGCCTTGACTAGAGCGAAAAAGCCTAAACTAAAGTAAAGTCAGTTAAATAATTACTCGGAAATTGCACAACGATGTTTGATTGCAGCCACCGAAAAAAAGGCCAAGAAAAAAACAGATAAAAATCCCCACGAACAGCGGTTAATTGTTTCATAATTGTGGAAATATATTCAGCTGATTATGCGACAGACGTAGAATAAAAAATAAAATAATATTAATTATTATCAGTGAGTGGAGTGACCGTACTGAGTTTTTTTTATGTTCTTCAATGCAGGCGATCCAGTAATAAGCAGAAAAACAGACAAATTCGCGGAAATGGATTACATTGTAAAGGCCTACAAAGATTGGAAGCTGCATTCGCAGGTAAGCAATCGAGTTAATAATATTGTAGCTCTAGGGAAGGTAAACCTTCAAGGCTAGTTGTCAATCCACTTACAAATTCATAATTATTGTGAGCTCAAGAGACAACAGGAAGCCGACAATCGGCTTACAATTAAGGTGTATACAAATTACAAATGGAATTACAATTGTAAGGTGGCAAAACGACTTACAAATCAATCTGAACAAAAGACACAAAAGCTGAGGGGGATATACAAATCCTAAACATGTTACTCCATATTCTGCTAATTTGTGGTGTTTATTTAGAAAACTATTTATTTTAACATTTATCGGTAGAACAAAAAGTGTGAACTTGCTAAGCATTTTTACAGTAGTTTAAAATTGACTTTGTTTCTAGAGAATAAAAGTGGCAAATAAACCAAAAATATTTGTAATATGTTTGCAATATTGCTGCTCCCTAAATAAATGGATAGATGGGCTTATAACTTTTGTGTGACTCTTAAGAAATCTCTGACCTCTCTCAAATATATAGATCTTAGATATTATTCTTATGGGACTTCCAACAATCTCGTCTTAACGGCTTTTACCACTCGAAATGTTTTTGCCTGTGGCAATCGGTTAAGATGACGACAATACTGTGGCTTTGGCTTTCTTGCAGAAACGAACCCAACTTCTGTTGGCTCTTTGTCTGATCATTAATATTTTTTGTGCACCTTTTCTACAGTCGCGGATTCGCGTGGTCGGGGAGAATGCGAAAGGCTGTGGAGTCACGGCAATAAGCGGTCGTTAGCTCTTGGCTTCAAGTTGTGGCTTTCGAGCCGGGGTCTAAGCAAATGCAAGACAGCTGAGGGCAAGAAAATAGTCTCTATGTCATAAAGTTTAAAATAGACAATTTTGGGTCGACCAATTACTATTTAAATAACATCTGATAAAATAAAAAAAAAATTATTTTTTTTTTTCAGTTAGCACAAAACATTTCTTTCCCTTAAATAATAAACCAATGCTTTTGATAAAACAATCTTACTATTCTGACCCCTATTATGTGTCCCCCCAAGACAAACACCTCGATCGCCGGTAAGAACTTGGCTCGTTGGGAGGGGAGGGGAACTGTCTGTGAAGCCCGAGTGCTTAACCGCATTTAAGAAAGACCTGGCCAAAAGACACTCGGCAACAGCCAAACAAAATAATAAATTATTCTGTGAAACACGATCATGTCGAAATGGTCTCGCATTACCCAAGAAAAACCCACTCTGAATGAGCGCTACTCTTTCGATTCCGATTCCTCGGCTTCTTTTCCTTCACTCTCTATCTGGTGTCGTTTTATTTAGTTATTTTTTCGGTATACTCTACTACGAGTGTGCGAATATGCTATTGCGATTGCCAATCCGAATGCGAATGCCACCAAAGTGTGCTAAGATCGTGGCCAGCGAACCAACGCGATGAGTAAGCCAACAACGAGTACATCTGGCCAAAAGCAGCCACAGCTACAGCCACCAACTTATGCGGCTCTCCGGTTGAAGTGCAATTGGCCAATGAGCGTACCAGTGTGGAAAAATAGCAGTGCAGCACAACCATTGCACAGAGGAAAAATCTCCAAAATTGTTTAGGAAACAACCAGAACTTTGTATGATTTTGATATAACCAAACATATATTTTGCAATGTTTTGAATGGATAGATAATATTTAAAACTTTTTCCTAACGAAAAACCAGAATTTATTATAATGCTTTTTGCACAAAAAATAATTATCAAAAGCGGTTTGATCTTAATGTATTCAATGACGTATTTGGATATATTTTAGAATGGGGGTGATATTATTTTGATATTTCAAACAGACTTTCTTCAGGTTATTTTGATAATTAAACCATTAAAACTGGTTATCTAATCTGTGTCATTTTAACCTGACATTTTGAATATATTTAAACTTGATTTTAAAATACTAAATTTCTTTATTTTTTTAAATAATTTTATATAATAAAGAACATATTTTTCTCCGTGTTGAAAGCGAGAACAACAAGTTGAAGCGAGCACAAAATGCATTTTATACGCTGACTGCAGCTGCTAATTGGGCCAATGCACATTGTACAAAGTATAAAGTTAATTCATGCTTCGCGTCGCATTCCATTTGGTCTTCTAAAAATATCCTTAACCTTGGCGAGATCGAGATCGTCTTCTTCGGAGGGTTCAATGCACCTCATCCGGTTTTCTGCGGCCATCTTGCAGTTGAGTTTTTACCTTCTGCAATCCCACAAAAAAGAAGAAAAATAAAGCCCCATCCAACTTTGTCCTTCAGTTAGACATGCGATAGGCCACACATCAGACATAACATATGTCTGTATTTCACTCGACTGGCACATTTACATTTAAATACAGGTGTAACTCTTCGACTGATTGCGACCATGTTGGCCAGCTGTGGGTGGTGGTTTTGGCCTTCGTTAATCAGTTAACTGCTCCGCACCTGCAGCGAACCGAAAGTCCCTCTGATTTGGTAATTGTTTGCATGCGGGCGGCCTAACAAAACGAGGTTGGTCTATTACTCACGGTTATTTGGCGATAACTTTAGGTATAATTAAGTCCAACATCAATTTGGGTCACGCGCAAAAGTTTAAGTTGTCGTTTGGTGCCTATTACTCCACCCTCATTGTATATCACATGAATGAAAGAAATCTAGTATTATAATATTTTTTTTAATAGTTCTATAAGTTTAATATTCCCAGTAGCTACTCAGCGGAATGTTTAAACTATAATGAATGAACAGTGATGATTCTTTACCATCATCTTTCTTTGCTATCAACGGAAATCTCAACCTGATGACCTGTTCAATGCCAACATTCTGCCACTTATGTATATGTACTTCCTTTTACTGGTGATAAAGAATGTTTATACGTTATACGTTTTACATAGCCCATACATTAATCTTCAAAATTAAACGCCAGTGAAATGCTTGAATGATTATATAATGTTTATTATAAACTTTAAACTTGATGCGTTCCGTTGGTTACGCTTCTGGCCCGGAATGATCTAACCTTTTCCTCCAAATGGGGGATGCCAGAACGATTGATTGCCGGGAGGCTCAGGACTCATGTTAACCGTATCAGCATCGAACTCCGTGGTGGATTCTTCCAAGTTTTTCTCTAGGGGCGGCCGGATCGTTGGGTTAGTTCTCTCAGGGTTAACCTTCAGTGGATCCGCCTTAAGATGTCCCAGGTACAACAGTAATGCGATCCAAAAGATCGCAACAAAAGACGTGTCCATTTCGATCGACAAACGAAATTAGTCTGATGATTCGCTCTCAAGTCACAGCCAGACAATAAAATCAACTTTCCTTATCAATACAAAAAACCTTTGCAAAATATTTGGTTAATATTTGGTAATTTACCAATGTCAATAATCATACTTATATATTTTTTAAGATCTCCACGTCAACATTTTTGTTGACGGTGACATATATATTTAAAATATTTAAAAATTTTGCAAAAGATTAATTTAACAGTAAAAAATGAAAAATAAAATGCACTTAAATGCTTGGGTTTTTCTATACCCATTTTTGATAAAGCTAAGCTTTTGTTTGCGCATCTGCTATTTTGTACGTCCCTTTTTACCTCATCCTGGGTAATGAATCTTTCCGCCCAACGCGTGACCGTGGAGATCCTCAGGACTCAAGTCAGCCTCAACCTCAACCTCAAAAGACGATATCCGTTGGCCGCGCAGTGGATTTCCCCGTAGGGGGAGAAATGGGGGTGGTGGGAACCTTATGTCAATCTCCTCAGGGTTAAACTTCGGTGGTGCCGCCGAAAGATGTCCCAGAAACAAGAGGAACACGATTCAACAGATCAATAAAAATGGTGGGTCCATTTCGCTCAACGAACTAAATATTTCTGACTGTAATTTATTTCAATTCAAAGCTGGAACATTGGGAATTGCTTCTTATCAATTAGGAGAACAAAATTAAAAGCGCAAAGAGCGTTTTCAGTCAAGTAGATCTGGGCTCTCTTTTTCAAAAAGTTTATTTAAATAAATGAACTGAGAGTTTTAAGTTGAAACCACAGGGCACTTTATATGGGAGTTCTTTTTACTCTACCAATAACTTAATAATTTCGGTAAAAAATGAGTTCCCTTTACTCGAAGAGCAACGAGTTAAAAATGAAAACCAGTTGAATGTTATGTGTTGTTTTTTATTTTTTAACACTTTCCAGGTGCGCTTCGTCACTATGTGGACTGCCGTTCATAGTGATAATAAGCGATAAGCTGGACATTTTCTGTTGATTTCACTTCAGCCCCTTTTACCTACACCGAATGGTACGTTTCCTGACCAACCAGTGTGATTTTGGGGTTTCTCTGGAACAATTGTTACACTTCTGGGGTCGAATTCCGCAGTGATTTGAGCGAAAAGGAGTCCCAGGAACATCAGGAATACGATATAACAGGTCCCACGAATTGACACGTCCATTTTGAGCAACTAACTGAATGATTCTGCCTTTGAAATGTTTTAATTCCAAGATGGAAAAGTACGATTCGGTTCTTATCAATTCGGCAGAACTAAGTTAAAGAGAGAAACAATAAATGTATTTAACGAGTGTTTATTATCAAGAAATTCTAGCTCCAAAGTTTTTTGATGATCTCTAAATATAAGATATTTCAAGCAGAAAAATTATACAACAAATATGCAATATGTTTACCTAACAACAGGTCCCAAAAATTTACGCGTGTAATTCGACCAACGAACTAAATACATAGAATGTATTCTGTTCAAAGCCGAAACGTTATAAATTTTTTCTTATCAATTTTGAGAGCCAGAGCGATTATTTATAGGGCTCATTTTTTTTAATGTTTAAATTAAACGAACTGAGAGTTTTAAGTTTAAACCACGGGACACTTTATATTGCAGTGCTTTTTACTAGGCACACAAAAAAAACGAAGTAAAATTAACCAATATAATTGTCAAACAGTTCCCAACCACAATAATTGTCAATTCTACCAATTAAATAGTTACTTTCACAACAACAAATTCACACAATTAACAAG